ACGCACTCCACTAAGCTCAATCTCCCACCAACCTAAACAGCTCCCCAAACCATCATGCTGAAACTACCATGCTTCACAGTTGGCTGCAATCTGTTGAGCCAAAACTCTTGGTGAGGCATTCTCCAGACCCATATCCTTCCACTGTCCGAAAAGTGAGTGAATCTTGATTCGTCTGAGAACAATACGATCTTCCAAAAGTCCAGAGAATTGGTCATCATATCACTTGCCCACTTCTTTCGTCTGACTATGTTGGCAGGTCTTTAATAAGGACTTCCATCTAGCTGCTCTGCAATGATAACTCAATCTGTGGAGAATTCATTGAACAGATTTCGGGCTCATCCCACCAACTTTGGCCACTTCTGCATTTCGATGCTCCTCTTGACAGCCCTTTTTGTCCTCTCCAATGGCTCAGGATGACCCAGATGCTGCTCAGTTGTTTCCTTGCCATGTTTCCTGAACTGCACGATGATTGTTGACTGTCGAAAGCGGGATTCCCAAATTCTGCAAAATTTGCCGCTGACTTATTCCACCATCTGCTTGACCAACTATCCTTCCTCTAACAAATCCTGACAATTCGAGAGAACCTTGAGTTCTAGGCATGTTGTAGCACAAGATAATTAGTGTGCAGACCATTTTCATTTACATTGTGCTCTGTGAACACAAATTAGTTAGCATAAATCAGTTAAATGACGAAAAATTAGGTGGCTATGTACCTGTGACCACTCAGTGTACATCAGGTCCATGGTAGGTAGAGGGTCCTCTACCTCTCACCTTAAAAATGAAAAGAGAAGCTTCTGTACCAAGGAACCATCTCTGCATGCGCAAACCTTCAACACAACCAACACCAGATCCACCGGGAACCATACAGCAAATGGTGGAAAAGTAGAGAGACCAGGTTAGTGTTCCTCTCCAGTCCAAAATCTTGTGGCATTAGGGATTTTGCTTCCAGCCTACAGTAGGAGGAGGGTACCATCCATATACATATGAGGACTTATTTGGCTGGTCCAGCTCCAGCCAACACCCAATCCCAAGGAATTGACATCTAGCAGATGGTAGGAAGAAAGGTGCCTCAGCTGGAGGACCAATCTGCAATATGTGGTGGAGTGATACATCTAACACCTGGCAGCATCTGGAATTATAGAATAGGTCCTCAGTAGGAAGGTCATCACCATCTGCACCAGCAGAATGCCACCACCCTGCTCTCAACTGAGTGGTATTGTGCACACTCAGGAGGACAGGCCTCTAAGTCCAACACCACAGCAGCTAGGAACTGGTAAGTGGTAAGGACTCCCATACTCAACCAGAAGAATGAGGGGAAAAATGTGTTGAAGAGTCCAGAGGACCACAGCACCAGAGACAGTGCAATGGGTGACCATGATACCCTATTTTGAAAAGCAGAGCGAGCACACCGACAAAGTTGATCAACCAACACCTGGTGGCATCTGACATTGTACATCAGATCTGCCATAGGAAGAACCTCAATGCTATGGAACATAAGAGATGGCATAATCCCTGTCTGTTTTACTCATGTTAGTCCATGAGACTGGGACAAACCCATTTATTAAGCACCAGACTATGAGGGATACTTACAAGCAGCCCCATCTCAACAGTATGTGTGTAGTATGACCTTGTGACATGTTATGATACTGTATTTCGATGCATAGAGGACATTTTGACAGAGTTGATCAATCAACACCTGGTGGCATCTGTAATTGTACATTAGGTCCACAATAGGAAGAGCCTCAAAGTCACAGTCATCTAGCATGGTATACAATCACAGGTCATACAGTGCATTAAGACTAAGTATACCTGGTCAGACAACACTCGCCACAGAGCAGGATCCAAATATGCAATAAAGACCCTGCAAAGAAAAAGAACGAAGGACTTACCACCCACAGATAAACAATTACAGCACTGAAATCTTGTGGATTTTTTCTTTTCTATGTTATATATTATTTGTATTTTTTTGTATTGTGTGTATTTTGAATTAAATTGAATTCAAGTGAAGATGGAAATGTGCATCCTGAGACAGGGTAAGGTGATAGATCAGAAGGGAAGAAAAATGCCAGGCAAAATAAATGGTAAATTCAACTCAGAAGGGAGATGGGAAAAAGGTCATAGGACAGGTTAGGATTTCATGTAAGAAACAAATGGACTTAGAAACCATGGAAGGGGGGGAGTATTACGATGTAATATATACCATCAAAGAGCACTAACCAGGCAAAGGAAGCAGGGGGATCAGAACGGTCATAAAGTTAGGAAAAAAGGGAGGGGAAAAAGGAGTGAAGGGAGAAGTACCCTTTCGAGCAGCCAAAGTCATGGGCATAAGGGAACGATCAAGAAATAGGATAACATAGGAACTAAAAAAAACAAAAAGCAGCAAACATCAGTGAGAACACACAAGAAGAACAATGTTTGTATGGCAACAAGAGCAGAAACAGGAACTGCAAGGAAAGGTGATTTACAGAACATGAAGATAAAAGTTCCAATGAAGGATGGGGAAAAAACATGAAGGACCACATAGAGGTGCTAATTTGGAATGGAAGCAGGGCAGAGAGGATGAGAGAATAGAAGGAATGAAACAACATGAATAAGACTGGCAACTGGCAAATATAAGCAAAGTCAATAAACTGAAAAGTGGCAGATAACATCACTCTATAGCTCACAACAGATAGAAACTGAAAGGCCTCACTCAAAAACCCAAGGCAAAAAGGATGGTATGTGAGGAACCAAAAGATGGGAAAGGCTTTAACTCCTTAGAACAGACCAAAAGTGGTACATATACCACATATGTACATAAAGCTCCATGGAGGAGGAAAGAACAGGACAGAAAATGAAGGAAACTACACATGAAAATCTGGCCCTTCAGGCAAGAAACTGGACAAAGCCATGCATGAAGATGGAGTACGGGTACAGGCAGGTGACATGCGCCAGAGTGTGGCTGACGGAGGAGTGTCAGAGATAAGAGGAAGAGAAAGGCACGCAAGTTGGTGCAGCAGTGGAAATCACATGAGAGCTGGCCAATACATAACCCGCAGCATAACACTACAAAGAGTGGTCTGATGTAGACACGTGGGAGAAGACAAATAGGAGGATATGCATATAGGTACTAATCAAATCAATCCAATGGGAGCAGTTGATGCTCTAAGACTGCTCCCACCAGAGGATGAGGAACCGTAGATCAAAATCGGGGAAATGATGTATTGAGAAGAATGTGAAAAAGGTCTAAGTCTGGGACACCACACAGAGCACACAAACCCAAAAAACAGGTAGATCTGAAGATCAAATTACACAGAGAATCCTGTCAGGCCAGAATAACCAATCCATAACCAGATTTAGGGCACTCAGATTATGACCTGTCAACAAAGTGATGAGATGGCAATGGGCCCAACACAGAAGATCCAGTGCGAGCAAACAGAGATTTGTCGACCTAGTACCCCTTGCCCAGTGATGTACGAGATTACCATAGAAACACTGGAGCAAAACATCACCAACTGGCCCTAGGAGCTCACAGGAAGTGAGGGAAAACTGACTAACAGCAAGAAGTTCCAAGATTAATATGAAAAGAAGACTCAAAAAGAAACCATTGGCCCCAAACCTCCTGAGTGTCAAGATACACCCCACCCCCACAACCGGAAAAAGAATCATCCATAAAAGGTGATATTCTAAATAAGTTGTTCTGTAAAGGAGGGGAAAGGATAAAAGAGGCATTTATGGGATCCCAAACAAGGCTTCATTGGTCTATAAAAACCCACTGACAATGACTCATTAATTCTTTCAGCACCAATCTCGTATCCATTTTGTGCTTGTTATAGTTTTCATGTTATAACTTAGTAAGCAAATGTTAACAAAATTTGGTAGATTATCAGTAAACATTACAATGCTTTCATATGCAAAATATCTAATTTTTTATTAAGTCTTAAGGTTTGTAAAGCAATGTTTCTTCCATGCCTTTTTTTTTTGTCACATCTTGCCTATCATGCAAAGCAATTTTCATTTTAAGATTAAAAATACTTTTATGCATCAGAAAATTTTTAAATTTCACATGCAAAATCTTTATGATGTCAAGATAGTTATCAAACATTTGT